AGAGAGAGAGAGAGAGAGAGAGAGTACAATGTTATCCCTGCTCTAAATATTAATGTCCCTGCTGGGCTGGGGATGTCACTCAGTGATACAGTGCTTGCCTATCATGTGGAAGCCTGTGGGTCTAAACCCCAGGACACCCACACACTTCCCATGTTCCCTAATTATTTATCAATGAGGTAAAATACTTACATATCTACATGGGATACAGTATGGTAATTGGATACATGTGTAATAGTCCAATTGGGGTAACAAGAAATTGGGCCAGGCACCTCCTGAGATCCTATCCATCTCTTCAGATCCATGAAACTAGAATGTGGTCACCTATAAACTAGGACCTTAAACATCAGCCCACTCAGTGTGACACAGCTGGTTATTCTCAAATCTCAAAACTGCATTCTGTTAGTCTAAACTAGACAAACTAGACATTATCAGTTCAGTAACTGAATCTTTGTGAAGGTACATAATAAAGACAAAACAAAAATAAAAAAGATTTGAAAATGAAAGCCTAAATATGGCAACTGAGGTACACACTAAGAGTGTTATACACCCTAGGTCCCCTCTTCTCCTTGTTGATTTGGTTCACCACAACATTAACTGAAAAAAACTGAAAAAAAGCTCCAACAGTGTGGTTTTGTGTAGCTGCAAAGGTGACAGGAAGGGAAGTTTAACAAGACTGGCTTGCTTAAGAATGGGTCCCTGGGGACACAGAAGAAGGTACACGTTAGAGTGGACACTGGCGGGAACCGCGATGAGCAGCTGTAGCACCCGTGACAGTACATGGGTATGGCCGACTCGTCAGCCTTCTGGCCGCAGATCCACACTGCAGGTGCTTATGCTCAGTGGCACATGTCCAGGCTCCAAACCAGGCTGCTCTGTTAGGAAGACTCTCACAACACTGAGCAGCCACTACACCCCCAGCACTCGCTCAGTTCTCATGTAAGCCTCACGAGGCAGGTAACATTAAAGGCCTCAGCTTATAGAACAGGAAACAGAGATGCAGAGAGGTTATGTAAAAACCACAAGGCGCAGAGGCTGCATTTTAACCTGGGTGTCCTGATCCCAAGGGCTGTCCTCGTTATTACTGCGAGTGAGCTGTGGGTAGCTGCTGAACTCAATGTTCTCAGGCTCTCACTGCTGCCGCCGCACTGGTCTGTGGGCTGGCTCATGCTGGATTCTTAACTTCCTTTAGCTCCCCATTCAATAAGCAGCTAGCTGCCTCCTTCGCTCTCATTTCAATATATGGGTCTCCTTGCCTTGGAGATTATTTTATTCTGGTCTGCAAGTTTATTATTCATCTTACAAAGCTGGCTTAGAACATAAACTGCTGAGGATGTTCTTACCCTATATCTAGAAGATTTTTCAAATCTGGGTATTTTAGAAAATACCATATTACTTAATCACAGTAATAAAAAGAAAAAAAAAATCACACTGCCAGGAAACAGTAATGCAATGTTACATTCAATTAAAAAATTCCATTTTTTCTAAATTCAGCATAGACTTAAAAGGTGTTCAGAACAGGAATGGCTTTTCTTCAGGAGCACCATTTTAACAGTGAATTGTATTAGAAATAAATACAGCAACACTTACTAAATTTCCGCCAACTACCACAGACTTTATATGCACCACATGTCTTCTAAAACAGCAGCAGGACTGGTCCTGAAAAACAACATAACGAAAGAAAAAACTTATTCAATAGGCATAATTTAACACACATTGATCTCTTCCTTTGGTAACAGTGACCTCTTCCCTCCACTTCAGGTGCCTGCTGATCTACCAAACTCTCCCTACCAGATTTCTCTTTGATTTTCATAGGAAGACGAAACCAACTTATAAATACCCTTAGCACATAGTTAATCAAGGAAGAAAAGGACAATAAAATAAACCAGAAAATGTGCTTACAAATATTTTGAATTTTAAATTCTAAAATAATCACAAACAAGCGAACAATGGAAAAGCATTTAATAACTCAAAACATTTCACTCCCAAACCAATCTTTATTCCTTTTTGTCCAGTAACACCCTCTCTTCAGTTGCGAGATCCCGAGCTGCGCTAATATTAAAATGATCTCATCTCTGGCAGCTTATGAGGTTCTAAGAATGTAGGTGACCCCTTACCATTCTATACTTAGATTATAAATGACTGAAGTTAGGCAATAAATAAACACATTCTTCTTTTACTTCTCTTTACAAAGTGAATGCCAGCTGTTCGTTCAGTCATCACCCCCCCCAACACACACACACACACACACACACACACACACACACACACACACACACGGCTCCTGTGTGACACAAGCACAATTCCTGCCTTTCTGAAGCACTGAGTCTAGCCACTCGTCCCAACTGGTCCTGAGTACCTGGAAATTCCTCATCCTTAAAGGCCTCACCTAGACTTAAGGAACAGGCAGTGACTGCCCATGTGTGGATCCATGTTACTAAGGGCCAGCCGTCTGACTTCTCATCTACTCAAGACCAGACAGAGATGCTGTCATGTCCCACAGATGTGAGTCTCTGGTTTGGGGGCATGTGGGTCAATAGGTGGTCTGGTAAAATTCCATGTCCTGCTCCAAGTACCCTCTCCAATGATGCTGTGTTTGTGTGAGAAGCCAGAGATGGCAGTCAGCCACCAAAGCAACTGTCTCACAAAGTTCTACTCCAAACCAGCCACACACTTCACTTAGACCCCTGCTGAGTCTGTGCTGGCTAGCCTCAGGATGGACCCTGAATTGTCTTATGCTTTTTCCTAAATTGCTGCAGTTCAGGATTCTTAAGTGTCTTTTGTCAAAACAAAACAAAACAAAACAAAACAAAACAATACACAGTTCTTCATATGCAAATGAAGAGAACATAATAATTTTCTCCATTGAAAACCATTCATCAGAGCACTGTGACCACTGGCTTTGGCAGCAATTCCCCATTGGTAGCATTTTTCACATGGAACAACAGGGCAAGTGACTCTGAGGGCAAATGGGAGTGTACTCTCCCCTTCCTATTAACTACTAACACTGAGCTACACTTGCAGAGAACAAAGGTTGGACTTGGCCTCCCCTCCCTTCTTTCCTTGTATTGGAAATCAAATCCAGGGCCTCTACACTGAGCTACAACCCTACAACTTTTTAAATTTTTTATTTTTGAAATTTGGCCTTGTTAAGTCCCTATGCTACCCTGGCTAGGCTCAAACTTGTGATCCTCCTGCTTCACTCTCCTACAGTGCCAGAATTTCAGACATGTGTTGTGTGCCTGCTGGCATATTCTTTCTGTACTGACGGATACTTAGATCTGTTTCATTTGTTCTTTTTGAGATATTCCAGATATATACGGCATTAATTACTACAAAAATAACTGAACGATAGAGTAAGTAGTATGACTACTGCTTTTCTCTACAATTACAATGTCTACACTTTCACCAATATGTAACAAAATGTTTATCAGTGCTTCTTTACAACAATATACAGTACTGCATGTAGCTTTTCAAATGTATTTGGTACAGGGTCTCACTACAAAGCCAGGACTCATAGTGATCCTCCTGTTTCCAGCTGCTCTAGTGTGGGATTACAGGCGTGCCACCATGCCCAGTCTCCATGGCCAGCTCAGCGCATCCGGGGGTGGGGCTGGCATGGCATGTGGTGCTGGGGATCAAACCCAGGTCCCTGAGCTTGCCTAAGCAGGCAATTAATCCACTGAGCTATTTCACTGGCCCTTGCATGTACTTTTTGCTTCTAATACATACCACAGACCACTGTGTGGTAGTTTTCTTGCTAGATGCTCGTAAAAAGGTTAATACCACTCACATTTCTGAGGAGGTCATTATTTCTTCCCAATAGAGCCCGCATATTCTCCAGACACAACACCTCACGAGTAGATGACAGTACTCTCAGCAGGGGAGTGGGGGCCTGAATGGTCTACGGATTTGCAATGTCCCAAACCATAACATTAGCATCACCTGTGAACTTCTTAGAACACCGAGTTCCTTTCCCCAAATCAATCTATTTTACAAGACTTGCCAGGGAATCTGTGTCCATACTAAAGCTGTAGAAGCTCTGACCCAAGGGAAACCCATTTGTCTTGCCAGTGACTCGTTCAAATATAAGCACTTGGCTCACTTTAAGCCAATGAAATGTGAAGAATGTTTTGCTGGGAGCTTCCCCTCATTCTTCAGGGACAGAAACTCCTTCCTCCTAAACATAGTGTGGGGTGTGATATCTAGAACCCTCATAAGTGTCTTGCCTCAGCCTAAAGATAAAGCTGGTTCTAGATGGGAAGAACAGGGAGGCGAGTGCAGGTCACCATGTCAGGCCCACCCTCTGGTACTCTGTGGTACCTCTGAGTTTCCAATAAATTTCTCATGTTTAGGCCTCCTTGAGTTGGGATTTCAATTATCTGCAGCTGGAAAACATTCTAATAGATCAGCCCCAATTAAGTATCATAAGAGGAACAGAATGCCCTGAGCTCAGCCTCATGCTGAAGAGCCTGGACAAGGCAAGGCACAAAGAAACCAGAGCAGCAGTTAGACTCTTTTGTTCAGGAAAGTGACCCAGTAGTATTTCCGGTCCTGACAACTATGGTTCATTTGCACATTTCCAAAAGGTTTCTAAAGCAGTCAGTCTCAAAGACCAACCAGAGGAAATGCTGAACATTATTTTAACCAGAGTGATCAACAGTTGCCTTCCTAAGAAGTCACATGGATGTCATTTCCTGCAAAGACAATGGGAGACTAATTGCTCAGCCCCAGCCTCCAAGAGGCACAACAACCTGCAATATATGATTAATGAAGAGTAAATAAGGAAGAGCTGGAGCTCTCAGAATCAGTTTCAGGGTCTGCTAAAGTTATGTGGAGAAATGGCAAAAGGGAAAAAAACAGCCAGCTGGTCTGGGAAAAGTTAAAGAGCCGCAGCTTAAGCAGCCACCATTTTTTACACACCGCTGGTACTTACTAAAGTCCTTTTGGAGGAAACCAAATAGACCGGCTATTATGCAAACCACATGAGGCTCTGGTATAATTTTGTTTTACACAGAGAAGTGATGTAGTCAAGGAGAACTGGATGTCTAAATAGATGATCTCTCTTTGGTGAGGCCTAGCTTTCTTTGCCATGAGAACATATTTTGGGTTTGGGTTGAGCTTGGGTTTGTCGTGTTGGCTTAATGAGGAGCAAGCATTCTCTCAAGTGGAATATAGAATATTTCCCCAAATTCTGTATCCTCAGAACTCTTTTCTTCTTTTGCTTTCTCTTTCCTGATACCTCATACATGTGTGCAGTCCCAGCTACTGCTCCAGCAGCTGAATTAGATAGAAATATTACAGGCAGTAAGACAGGGCCAGGCCCTCAAAGGAGATAACACAGAAGACAAGATACCTAACAACTGTGGGAGGAACGGATGCTCCTGCTGTGAGCCAGACCAAAGATCAAACAAATGCTGTTCTTCCTAAAGACTGGCATCCGGGATTGATCATCACCCTGAGTAAACCAGACGAATCACTGATCTGACTACTACTACTAGGTGGCTACCTGATAAAGTCCTGTTCTACATTCATGCCCCCTTGCTACATGACTCGCTTCCCCATTCAGTCCTGGACTTAATCAATTTCACCTGAGCAATGGTGTTTGTAATCCCATTGGTTGACCATAGTTTTGTCCCACCCCACATCCACCTAAGCGAGTTTCCATTTTCTCTACCTTAGCCCCGCATGGTTTTACACTATAAAAATCCCTGGAAGAGAGCGCTTCCCAGAGACCACCCACTCGGGGGCCCTCCTACTGTCCGTCTCTCAGACAGGAGCTTTCTTTCCTTCAATAAATATATTCTGCTTATAACCTCAGTTTGCTCCTGAAATTCATTCTTGGGTTTTACAGAACACGAACTCGTCCCAGGTACCTTGCAGGTCGGGAGATCATTTTTTCCCCTATGTCATTTTGGAGGTCTGCCACCCGACATCAGTTTTTCTCCCTATATCACTATCATATCATGTGATGAGTTTCAAACCACATTTCTAGAGCTATCACTTGTGTTCCCGATTCATCACCCACCTCTATAAAGGTGCCTTGAGAAGAAGGAGCTCATTTTAGTCACTATTCCATTCCCCATGCTTCATGCAGTAGATGACATGGAGTATGAAGATGTTTACTGAATGAATACCTGCAAGACTCTGTCAGACTCAGGCTGTCTACAGAAGCTCTCGCCATCACTTCCTGACTGACCCCTCAGGTGCTACCCTCTCTTCTTCAGCCCTATCACATATATACTCTGGATCATAGTTTCAATCAGGTCCCTCTTAGAATATCTCTGATATACTTTCCAAGTGAGAAATGGGGCCCATCGAGGATAAGAAGCCTACTCAAGGTCTTACAATCAGTGGGTAGCAGGGACTGGATTTTAACATAGGTTGCTGACCCGGCTACTCGGTCAATGACTAGTGCAAAAAACAATAAATGTCTTTCAGCAGAGCCTAGTATAGGACCTGACATGTGGGCATGCACTCAGGAAATATTTATGACTAAATGAATAAATTAACATTTATTTAATTAATTAAATTAAGATAACACGGGGAACCAGCCTGTCCCTCAAGCCAAACTGAATATAACTCCCTTCCCTTCAAGTTCTTGCCCAACTTCTTCCATTAGAATCAGTCTCCCTGTATTTGGCCCTCTCCCATAGACC